AGAGTACCTGAATAGACCTATTCACATCAAGGAAATTGAAACTGTAATCAAAAGTCTTCCCAAAAACAAAAGCCCAGGCCTAGACGGATTTACTAGCGAATTTTTCCAAACATTTAAAGAGGACATATTGCCAGTACTTCTCAAGCTTTTCCAGGAAATTGAAGAAACAGAAACTCTACCAAACAGCTTGTATGAAGCCCATATCTCTCTAATACCAAAAGGAAACAAAGACACCGCAAGAAATGAAAACTACAGGCCAATATCCCTGATGAACACGGATGCGAAGATTCTCAACAAAATACTAGCCAATAGAATACAACAACTCATCAAAAAGATCATACATCATGACCAAGTGGGATTCATCCCAGGGATGCAAGGATGGTTCAACATTCGGAAATCAATCAACATAATCCATCATATCAAAAAAGAAAAGATAAAAATCATATGATCATATCAATAGACGCAGAGAAAGCTTTTGACAAGATCCAGCACCCATTCATGATGAAAACCCTTGCCAAAATGGGGATAGAGGGGACTTTCCTCAATATAGTTAAAGCCATCTACCACAAACCTACAGCAAACATCATCCTCAATGGGGAAAAACTGAGACCCTTCCCCCTAAGGTCAGGGACGAGACAAGGATGCCCACTCTCTCCACTACTGTTCAATATAGTACTGGAAGTACTTGCAATAGCGATTAGGCAAGAAAAAGATATTAAGGGCATCCAGGTAGGGAAAGAAGAAATTAAGCTCTCACTATTCGCAGATGACATGATACTATACTTAGAGAACCCTAAAGCCTCTACCAAGAAACTCCTAGAAACAATAGGCTTGTATAGTAAAGTGGCAGGCTATAAAATCAATACCCAAAAATCCATGGCATTCCTATATGCAAATAGTGAAAGAGAAGAAAGTGACATCAAGAAAACAATCCCATTCACAACTGTGCCCCAGAAAATCAAGTATCTAGGAATCAGCTTAACTAAGGAAGTAAAGGACCTGTACAAAGAAAACTACAAAACGCTACTTCAGGAAATAAAAGAGGACACGAGTAAATGGAAAAATATCCCGTGTTCATGGATGGGGAGAATCAACATCATCAAAATGGCAATACTTCCCAAAGCACTGTACAAATTCAATGCAATCCCTATAAGGATACCCATGACATTCTTCAAAGAAATGGAGCAAACATTCCTGAAATTTATATGGAACAATAAGCCCCCAGGAATAGCTAAAGCAATTCTTGGGAAAAAGAAAATGGGAGGAATCAACCTCCCTAACTACAAACTCTACTACAAGGCAGTAATAATTAAAACAGCATGGTACTGGAACAAAAGCAGAGCTGCAGACCAATGGAACAGAGTTGAATATACTGACATTTCCTCCCAAACATATAATCATCTAATCTTTGATAAGGGGGCAAGAAAAGTGAAATGGAGCAGGGAAAGCCTCTTCAATAAACTGTGCTGGCAAAATTGGACGGCGACATGAAAAAAAGTGGGCTCAGATCTCTGCCTAACACCATGCACAAAAGTAAGATCGAAATGGATTTATGACCTCAACATAAGACCAGAATCCATAATGTTTATTGAAGACAAAGTCGGCAAAACTCTCCATGATATTTAAGGTAATGATATCTTCAAAGATGTCACGCCACTGGCCGAGCAAGTGAAAACAGAGCTAGACAAATGGGACTATCTTAAACTAAGAAGCTTCTGCACCTCCAAAGAAACAGTGACCAAAATACAAAGACAGCCTACAGAATGGGAAAGGATATTCACCAAGTACTCATTCGACAAGGGGTTGATATCAAGGATATACAAGGTACTGGTTAAACTACACAAGAAGAAATCACCCAACCCCATCAAAATATGGGGTGAGGAAATGAACAGAAACTTTCGCAAAGAAGAAATTCGAATGGCAAAAAGGCACATGAGAAAATGCTCTACATCACTAATCATCAGAGAGATGCAGATCAAAACCACAATGAGATATCATTTCACACCACAGAGACTGGCCCACATCCACAAGAACAAAAGCAACCAATGCTGGCGTGGATGTGGTGAGAAACGGACCCTCCTTCACTGCTGGTGGGAATGCAGGCTGGTCCAACCCTTTTGGAAAACAGTATGGACGACTCTCGAAAAATTAGAATTTGATCTGCTATTTGACCCAGCTATAGCACTCCTGGGAATATATCCCAGAGAGGCAAAAAGGTATAGTCGAAGTGACATCTGCACTTGTTTGTTCATTGCAGCACTCTTTACAATAGCCAGAATCTGGAAAAAATCTGAGTGCCCAAGAGCAGATGACTGGTTAAAGAAACTTTGGTACATTTACACAATGGAGTACTATGTAGCTGTTAGAAAAGATGAAGTTATGAAATTTACATACAAGTGGTACTACATGGAATGTATTCTGTTAAGTGAAATGAGTCAGAAAGAGCGGGATAGACACAGAAAGATTGCATTCATCTGGGGAACATAAAGCAACAAAAAGGGAGACTAACACCCAGGAATGGCTGAGATTAGTACCAGGAATTTTGCTCCATGAATGGAAGGCCAGCCACACGTTCTAGGTGAAAAGGAAGCTCAGATAGAGAAGAGAGCACCAAATGAAGGGTGTTGTGAGGACCCTCCCAGGGTGGGAGAAGCATGCTAAAAGTAATCTATAGACCAAACATGATTGCCACTCAATGCCTCTCTTGCAAATCACAGTACCCAAAAGAAGAGAGAGAGAACAAAGGGGAATGCCCTGCCACAGAGGCAGGGTGGAACGGGGGGTTGGGGAGTGGGAGGGATGCTGGGACCCGTGGTGATGGATGACGGGCACTGTTGGAGGGATGGGCACTCCATGGCACTCTTATTCCACTGGAAAGACCATAGTGCATTACAATTATCCAACTATCTTTAATCTGTCCTTCACAAGATTCTGAACTAACTCATCAATTGCAGGGAGAGTTGCCTTTGTAGCTCTAGTGCCTAGCATATAACAGACACTCAAAATATGTTTGCAAAAAATCAACAGTCTAAACAAAGATGAAAGATAAGTATTTGAACAGAGAAATTATCCAGTGAAGAGTAGTTTTACAAAGAACAGCTTTCATGTCAATGTCAACTTTCTTGATTTTTTTGTTTTTGGCCATACCCTCTAGTGCTCAGGGCTTACTCCTAATTCTATGGTCAGGAATCACTCCTGACAGTGCTCAGGGTTCTGTATGTGGTGCCATGGATCAAACCCGGGTCAGACATATGCAAGATAAACTCCTAACTCGCTGTACTATCTCTCTAGTTCTTAATATTACCATATAATAGAGAGAAAAATTAAAGATGATTTAATTCTTACCGTAGGAAGAAAGTTGGAAGACTTTCAAGTTTTTTTAAACGTAAAATTTACGAACTATATTTCCAATTGCCACATTTTTGAAATAAATGATTATATATTCTATCAAAATCCTAAGATATTTTATGAAAAAAATAGTTATATATAAGGGGTTATTGATGAAAATGCATTATACTCAGGCAAAATTTAATCTTGTTATTTGGCTATAAAATTTTATATCATTAAGAAAATATTACTGGTGGACCAGTCTAAATCGTTAGGGATTTTCCTTTTTCTTTTTTCTTTTGGGGGGCTTTTTTGGGTTACACCTGGAAATGCACAGAGGTTACTCCTGGTGGTGCTCGGGGGACTATATGGGATGCTGGGAATCGAACCCGGGTCGACCGTGTGCCAGGCAAATGCCTTACCCGCTGTACTATAGCTCCAGCCCCTCATTAGGGATTTTTCAATAGTTTAATGCATCCTTATTGATTGCAACATTAGAGGCTCATCAAGAGCATTCCTTTAGTGAACTCGATTATTAGGTGACATTGGACATCTTTTTTTTAACAAAATCTTGGGTTGGAGCAATAGCACCGAGGGTAGGGCAGCGGGTAGGGCGGCGGGTAGAGCATTTGCCTTGCGAGTGGCCGACCCGGGTTCGATTCCTTCGCCCCTCTCAGAGAGCCTGGCAAGTATCTCGCCCGCACGGCAGAGCCTGGCAAGCTACCCATGACATATTTTATATGCCAAAAACAGTAACAACAAGTCTCACAATTTGTTATGAGACATTAGTTACTGGTGCCCGCTCATGCAAATCAATGTACAATGGGAGGACAGGGCTACAGTGCTACATAACTTACCCCAATTATAATTATAAAGGGCTTATTAAAGCCAACTTTGTCAAATCCTAATATAAGTGTTTTTGTTCTACACTCATTTGTTCATACAAACTTCAAACAACTTTATTAGGTAAGTAATATCACTATTTTACAAATGAAGAAACTGAAGTCCTAAAGATTCCTTAAATTTTCTCCAGAGCTGTTTCCTTATTGATGTAGCCTCCCATGGTGGAGGCTATTATGGAAATCACAGAAGAGCACACACATTCTAAAAGGTTTAACTCATAAAACTTTCCACATTGAAAGAAAAATTGAATTTTGCGTTCAACATAAATATGTAAGAAGAGAACCATGTCATGTGTATATAGCTTGTTTAAAATAAAAAATAACTTGTAAATTTGAAGATAAGCATTTGCACAGCTACCTTAGGGTGCACAGGTATGACGGATGGTTTAGTCAAGAACATATTTTTAAAGGGCATAGTATGCAATGAAGTCATTTGGATTCTATTATTTGGGAGGTTGTGAACAGGGATTGTGTGTGTCTGTGTTACTGGTGGTACTCAAAGTTTACTCCTGGTGAGGCTTGGGAACCACATGAGGTGCTGGAGATCTAATCCAGGGTATCCACATGAAGGGCAAGTGCCCTACCCAATGTAGTATCACTCTGGTCGACGTTGTGAATATTTTTAAACATGTGAAAGATCTGGTTAGATTTATATTCCAGAGATAAATCTAATAGAAACTAAGGGGACAGAGTCAGGAAGAACATTCAGTTTTCTGTCCTGGGAAGATGGTATAGATAAAGACAATAAACATATTGAAAGTAAATACTTACCTTTACCTTTATGTTTCTGATTGGACTAACACTTCTTACCTTTTTCTTCATAGCTGTGTTTGGTAGCACCCATCTGCAGATATAAATCAGAAGACAATTTTCATGATTGGACTGTTTTAGAAATCAAAATAAAAATATATTCACATATATGAATACATAGAGAGAGGTGCAAAAAAGCATATTTAACACAACAGCCAAATACAGCTGTGTTGCACCCCAGATTAATTAGTCCACATTTTCCTAAATTATAAAATTGGGTTGCAGTTGCCTATTTCTTAATTATGTGAAAGCCCTACAGAAATTTATTTAGGAATATCAAAGACCCATTAAAATACAAAATTCAATTTTCATCATTTTAAAAAGTTTATGAGTAGCATATAGAAGCGTTTTAATAAATCTGTCATTTAAAAAGTACTCTGTATCAGCCTATTTTAAAAATAGCCTCAGTCCTTCAGTTGTCCTTTCAAGTCATTTCACTCATCACAAGCACAAAGTATATTTAAAAATCTTAAATTCGGGTACACACTGGCACAGAAAGTACTAGCAAATTACTGATTTTCACTTCAAAGCGAGAACTCCTCCTAACCAATATTCAGCATGATAGCGTCAAATCTACTTTACTGTCAATTCAAGGCAACTTACGACTACCTCCTCAGTTCGAACACCCCTCATCTCAAATCTCTTACCAAGGATTGTTTCTGCCGAGCTAGTCTGCATTCCTGCTTATCCTACCCTCAAAATCATAATATCATTTAACCTTACTGGTAAACTGAAGCAAGTTATATGGGTGGGGTGTTCTAATTCACAATATTCTATCTGGAAAGTTCCCCCCTCCCCTTCCAGGTTTAACATAATACCCTTCACCCACCCAAGCGATCCTTCTGGTTCCCATATGGGAGGATCCATTCTTGACCCCATATTCTCTTTCTCCATTTTTTTCTCAGAGTCAGATTCTTCCATTGTGCAACAAGTTCTTTTCGGTCCCTTCTAAATTCGCAGTACTCTTCCTGCTTTCCCCCCACCTCCCCTTGTTCACCCACTCAGATGCCTATTTTCATTATCTGTGACCCTTAGGCCGTTTCTATTCTTGCCTTGCCTCCGCCTTTGTCCACTGGGGGGCTGCTTTCCCCACAGTTACCTTTACCTCCCGGAAACTTGGTCTCAATGCACGGACGAGGTGGCTCACTCAAAGGTTAAGTAATTCTGTGGTGCAAAGGAAAGATGGAGGCTGAGAGCGAAAGCGGGGAGGAGAGTATTCGCCTTGGCAGTAGCCCTCCCAGGTTTCAAAACCCAAAAGGGACTTCACTCGCAAAAAAACGTAGGAGCGGTGGAGTTGACAGAGCTGACCCACGCGGTAAGCACAAGATGACAAATGCCTCACTACTCCTTATTCCTGAGCCTGTACACCCAACTGAGCCCACTGTTGCAGTGGATAGGATGTATTCACACGCCTTTCCAGAGCGCAGGTGCCTAACCATCGCCACAGTACTGCAGGCCAAGATCACGTGGGCACCTGCCTTAAATTCTGTCATGTGACTGCAGCTACCCAAGGGGTGGGTGGACGGGGGCGGGGGTGGGGGCGGCGGTGAGCCGTAGAGACTAAGCAGAGAAAGACAGAGTACCCGCCTGCAGCCATTACGTGCTTCACTCACACACAAATTTGCAAACCATACCAGGAGGAAACTTGCGTTGAAGGGAAATCAGCCACAAAGCCCGCCTTGGAGAATGAAAGGAGACGGTTACAAATTCAGTGCTTCAAGGAAAGTCTTTTACTTCCATTTCACCCTTACCAGTTTTCTGTATGGAAAAACAAGCTTTGTTCTGTTTTCCTTTTTTTTAATTTATTAATCACTGTAAGCTTGTAATTAGGTAAATTGATACATTAAAGTTATTACAAGTTTTTTTCAAGTCACTTAGTAACTTCACAGGCAAAGTTGTTATTGCTGGAATCAAGGATTCATCCAGGATTTGGGGACACATCCAGGATTTGGGGGCCTGCTTTCCTGTTTAAAACTAGAAGAAAATGAAATAAATTCTCTATAACATAATAAGCTGTCTGTAGGTTAAGTTGAAAATGGATAACTGAAGGACTACTGGTAGGTATATCCATACTACCAGGGATTAAAAAGTTAACTTGATACATGTCAACCCCTTCCTAAAAACTATAATATGGTTATACCTACCAGTTTTCCTGAGGGGTTGGGGAGGAACTGAAGAAGCAACTTCCTTCTCTACAATTTAGAGGGGTCAGAGTTCAGGAAGTGGTAGGCTGTTGCTTTTCATCTTAAACCCATTTGTGCTATATGTACAACGTATACATATATATAGATACATTCATATATATAATAAGTAATTGAAGGAAGGAAGGGAGGAAAGAGTGAGTACAGAGAAATAGTAATGTTGTCCTGGCTTGAGCCTCGAATGAACAGAGAGACAGTTCAGGATAAGATAGTGTGTTTATTAGAAGCTCTGAACTGAGGACCCCCAAGTCAGAGGAGAAAGAGATTTGGAGCCTCGTTTGCTGAGAGGGTCTCTCTTTTATCCTCTAAAAGTGGGCTATAAACTACATACATTCTTATCAATGCAAGAGGAGATACAGAGGTAATTGGCAAAAAAAATAATTAATGTATCTTTTTCACATAGTATGGCCTTCAGGCGTTCAAAAAGAAACCAGCCAGTTTCAGTATATCTAGCCCATTTTGCGCGGCGTTCAGGTGCTTTTTCCCGTGCACTCCCATTAAGTCTCTCAAGCCCAGTGCACTCCCATTCGTCTGGTGAGCTGGTGGAACCTTAACTCACTTTATGGGGCTCACTCAGTTGATTGGCATCATAAAAAGGAACGCTCCCCCAGCCTTCTCTTGTTTAACGAGAAGGGTCAGTTAAGTGGTCAGTCCCCATTAGATTTTCTTAATTTTTGCTGCGCTTTCATAATTCTCATTACATACAGCTTCTTATTTGTCATTACAGCATATAGTTGCTTATAGCAGTTACCAGATTTGATCCCAACACTGCATATGATCTCATCGTCCAATTCCCTCACTCACCCAGGAAATTCTAGGAATGATCCCTGAGCACAGAGCCAGGAGTAAGCCTTGAGCACAGGTGGGTGTGACCTGGCAAAAGAACATAGAGCATAGGAGGGAGAAGAGCTAGTTCTCAGTGTGAGCAAAGAGAGGAAAATGAAATATTATTCACTGTAATGTCCCAAATGAAATGTAATGAAGGAACCAATAGAGGAACCCAGGCATACAGGACCCGGGCTGAGATCTCCAAGCCTGCTTGGATCGCGACTGGGCCTCCCCCACCCAGATCCCCCATCTTCTAGTAGGTAGGCGTTACATCCACCAACTTCCCCTGGCTCCGTGTTATCTCATCAACAACCAAGACCCAGAGACTATAAAACCCAGTTCCCGGAATGCGGCTGCGCGACCTCTTATTATCTAGTTCTTACTCTTGGAGAACCCGGCAGGCTACTGAGAATATTCTGCCTGCACGGCAGAGTCTGGCAAACTCCCCATGGCATATTCGATATGCCAAAACTCAGTAAGAACGATGGGTCTCATTCCACTGACCCTGAAAGAGCCTCGATTGTGGCACTTTTTAAAATCTCAGGGTTAGGACGAAGGAGATGTTACTGGTGCCTGCTCGAAGAAATCAACGAACAATGGGATGACAGTGATACATTAATGTACCAAGTGTATTTGCTAGCTGGTAGTTATCTAAGTTAGAAATCTGTCTTCGTGACCAAAGAGCAGATAAAGTGCTTGCTTTGCACAGGGCCAACCAGGTTCCATTCCTGTCATCACATATGATCCTCGAAATCTGCCAAGAGTGATCTGAGAGCAGAGACAGGAGCTTGCCCTGAGTACAGGCAGGTGTGGCACTGAAACAACAACAACAACAACAACAACAACAAAAAGAAATCTATCTTCCACAGACTGGAAGACTATTCTTCGTGGTGATATTTCAAAGGAAGAAGCAGAAGGACAATACAGGAGATAAGACAGTTTCTTCATACTCAGCTGCTTCTGCTGACTCTGGTTCGTTCTTGGCACCATATATAGTCCCTTGAACACCTGACCAGGCATCACCTGAGCATAGAGCCAGAAATAGTCCCTGAGGAACATCTGAAGGGTGTGACCACCAAATCACACACACATATACACATACACATACACACACTAAGCCCTCCCTAACATCTCAAAGGAATATCTTTCAAGTTCTTGAGAATGATACCAAATTTTAAGTTACATATTCAAAATTTTTAAATGCTCTAGGAAAAGTTACAGGATACTATCATCAGGTTATAACTTTGCAGTGTTTAACTTTATCAGGTAGATATTTTAATAGGAGTTAGGTTAAGAGGCAACTAGGGATCATCTGAGGGGATGGCACATCTCTTGGTGCAATAGTTTAGACAAACAGGCGCTAAGAGTTCTGGAATTATCATCACTCCCCTTTACTACAATCTATCTTCCTGTATTTAATGCTTCTTTTTTTGTTCCAGATATTATACTATCTGGCCTGAATAATTTTAATAGCCTCTTAAGTGATTTTTCCTAAAATAGAAGCTCTAAAATAGGAGTGGGTGGTATGATCTTTAGTTATTCACTCACAAAAAGCATTCAGTGTAAGTGCAATGTTCTTACTATATAAAGACATCATTTAGACGTTTTCTCCAACCTCCACTACCACTAAGTTCAAAATGCCAAATCACTCCCCAAAACCACTATCTTATAGAAATGTATTGTTTCTCTGTTGCAAGTCTCTCTTTTGCCCTCCTCCAAATGATGCATTTTCCCTACACTCTTTGGGTAATCGTTTTTAAAGCATCAGTAAGAAAAGGCCATTTTTTTCTGATTTTCATTCTGCCCACAATTTAAGGGAAGAATTCTTCAATAAAATTATGTGGCCTAAGAGAACATCTAAAAACTCTTACTTTCTCCCTCAATAACCATAAGAAATAGATTCATAAAGGTAATAAGAATGGGGGCAGAGGCAGGTAGTGGAGAAGAATGAAGGGGAAAAGAGGTAGGGAAAAAAGCAATTAGTGTAGGGGCAGAAGAAAGGCATTTTAAACATAGTAAGTGACCAAAGTTTGATCCAAAAATGTTGAATAAGACAGGTGGTACATGAATTCATAGATTTTTAAGATTCTGATTTCCACCCAAATATCCCTGGGATATCTTTCTACATTGCCATTGCAGACTCTTACATAGATAGGAGATGAGCATATAATTTTTGAATTAGTGTTTTTATATTCTTAGAATATCTGGATCATATGGTAGCTCTATTTTAATTTTTATTCTATTTTTATATTTAAAATCGATAGCTTTATTTAGCTTTGTCCACTTATAACACATCATATAAAATATTTATTTATATGTTTCATATATGCTCCCTGCTCCAAGAAGAAAGTAAGTTCCACTGACAGCGGGAATTCTAATCTTTCAGTACCCAGCACAGTGTCTTACACTGTCTTTAAAAAATAAAAAAGGGCGGTTGGAGTGATAGTACAGCGGGTAGGTCGTTGCCTTGCACTCAGCCAAACCGGGTTTGATTCCCAGCATCCCATGTGGTCCCTTAAGCACCGCCAGGAGTGATTCCTGAGTGTAGAGCCAGGAGTAACCCCTGTGCATCGCCGGGTATGACCCAAAAAGCAAATATAAATAAATAAATAACATTTTACAAACTAGTTGAATGAATTTTACATTTTGTGTAAACTGAGGATATCATTTTTGGCAAAGATTAATACTGACATAATTTATTATCCCTAGAATTAATCAATTAGAAATTTTTAAATAGATACAATACCATTGGTTTAAAATATTTTTGTTTGTGGAGGTAGAGCTGTATGGATAAATAGGAGAATATATCTCACAGTCTAGTTGTCCTAATTATTACTAGCTTAAAATTCCTATTGTAGATTATAATTATTTTATTTATTTATTTTTAATTTTTTAGAGCATTGCAATGCTATTCATGATTGAATTT